CAAACTGATTAGGATTACATTTTGGGAAAACTTGTATGCAATATAATGGGGACAAAGCAAAGCATCATTTAGTCAATTAGCTATAAGTATGGAAACTGGGGGAGAGTCAGCATTATGGCACAGTGGGTTAAACTGCAGCTTACAATGCTGACATTCATATTGAGTGCCAGTCTGAGTCCTGGCTATGGTTGGTTCTGATCCAGTTCCCTTCTAATGTGCCTGGGAAGGCAGCAGAAGATGGTCCAAATACTGGGGACCCAGCCACCCTTACTGGAGACCAGGATGGAGTTTCTGGTTTCTGTCTTTCACATGGCCCACACCTGGCTGTTGCCAACATGTGAGGTGTGAACCAGCAGATGGAGGATCTCTCTCTCTCTCTGTGTGTGTGTGTGTGTGTGTGTGTGTGTCTGTGTGTGTCTGTCACTCTGCCTTTCAAGTGAATGAATGAATGAATGAATACATCTTAAAAACTCCAGAAATTGGAAAAAGGAAAAGAATGTCTAGTTACAAAGAAAAATATATCTTACCTTTTCAATTAAGAAAATAAATTCCAAATATAATTCAGTTCTTTTGAATCTAATTAGCACAAAGCACTCCATGAGAAATCAGAGTGGTAGGCCTAACATATCAGAGTCCAGACCTTACTCTGGTCACAAAATGGGCACAGGTGCTGCAGAAAGTGGGGAGAATGCACCAGGAGACAGCTGACTAATCAGCAGGACTGGAGACGGTACACAAGGACAGAGCGTGGCCTGTGAGCTGGATTTTGCTCAGCCTGCCCCAGGCTCTCAGTGACCCAATTCTTACCCTATGAGGCCATACTCCAAACCACCACCTTATCTCCTTCTACACATATTATTTGCCAGGCACCCTGGAGGTCTCAGAGATCCAGGATCATCTCAGCTCAGTGTATTCCCCTAGCATTCCATGATACCAGAAACTGAACCTTCTATCAGAGACACTTGTGGATATTTGTTCTTTCCACACTAGATTACAAACTCTTGAATAGCAAGGGTTGCCTTTTAATAACCTTGTTTCCCCAGGCGCCTTAGTGAACGCTCCACACACAGGATTCTCCCAATACATACTTACTGAACTCAATCACCCTCAAGCATGCATAGTCACTCTCCCCTGAAGCTTCCCAATTTAAAGATCATCACCCTTTCTAAATATAGCTGGTAATGGGAAATGAAATGAAATGTCTTAAAGCATAATCTGGAGAATGTCTGTGATAACACACGCAAGATTCTACAAGCACTCGTACAAACAAGAAATGAACGTTCAGGAGAGATTTCATATCATCTAAAAGCTTCATATATGGGCAAATGCACTCCCCAATGGTCAAATACCTGATGTAAACATCAAGCACCAGCACAGCTTAGTCTGCTTCCTGACATATCAATCTTGGGAAGAGGCGGCACATGTCTGCTCTAAGCAGGCCAAGGATATCTATCCTACTGCTGTCCCACCCCACCTCCAGCCCCTCAGACAGATTTGACAGTTCTAACATTTCTTCAGAGATTTGGACATGACAATGAGAAACACATCGGCCTGAGAATGTTTTAAGCCAATAGAGATAAATTAGAGCCCTTCAAAAAAGTCCCCTGGAGATCTCACTTTCTACTGGCCTTACAAAACTGGCCAAAAAGGGGGATAGAGGGGCCCAAAGGAAGCCTAACACCATTTGGCCATTACTTGCTTTGATTCCAGAATGGTGGAAGGTAGGAGTTAAAAAGCTGAAAGCAGAAAGGAAGAACAAGATATTTCAGGCATCAAAACAGCACCTTTCTGATAAGAAAATGCCCAAAGAGTTAAAAATTAATACAAAACTTAGAGCCGAAATACAGTTTTTCTATAACACTGTGGTATCAGTTATCTTAGAAAATGCTATTCATCTTTGTAAGCACAGATTTTGGAATTCAGCCCAAATTTTTCTTAGTCACCATCTAATGATAATAATTTGATTTCCTCCAAAAAACAAGTATTCTAATCCTCTGATAAACAAGCTTCTAAGCCTTCATGATAGTTAAGTAAATAAGTCTCAGCTTCCCATAAAAATGAGAACATTAAATGGTAGAATCATTCATACCGGATTATGTAACAAGTCAGTAATTAAACGAGTTGATTACCACCTCAGTTCTGATACTGCTACAATATTGGTAATTTTAACCAATTCCTTACATATAAGATCATTCCAAAAGAGAAAATAAAAGAAACTTAACTTCATTCATAGTTTTTAACATCAGATATGTTGTATTTTGTGATGATATGTAAACACTTTCACATAGGAATCACATTTCTAAGGATTTACTTTAAGGAAATCATTGTGTATGCCTATATGTAGGCATTTTATTTATAACAGTCAAACACTGACAACCATTTAAATGTCCTTCAACAAGGTATTAAAACAAAGTATAATTTACCCACACAATACAACCTCACTCAATACAAAAAAGAGTATACAGGTTGATAAGGAAAAGATGCCTACAATATATTAAGTGAAAATAAAAGCAAATGTACAATATATTTGTTGTTAAAATTAATATTATTAAATAATTCCTTTTTTTAAGTGCCCATGTAGATTTAAAAGAGATCTGTCAACAATGTTTGCCTTTCAGGAGTTAGACCACAGGGAGAGAGTTGTGATCTATTTTACACATTTCTATATAATCTGAACTGAATATACTTATAACTTTGAGAACTAAAGAATAAAATTTTTGACAAAATGATATACACCTAAAATAATGACACATATCAGAAACATTTATAACATAGTGTGTTCTCTTATATCCTTATAACTTTATTTATTGAAATTTCCATAAAGAAATTAATCTGGAGCCTAGGTCCTCCAGATGCACTCTGTCCACACCCAACCAGGAGAAATCCAGAAAGTGTTGCATCCATGCAGCAGCAATTTTCCCACAGTACTCAAAGGCACAGTAAAGGCCTGGTGGTCATCAGCTGGGAGCAGACAGCAAAAGGTATCCCTCCACTGGTCTGTGCTCAGCTTCACAGGGGACCAAGGACAAGCAGGAAGTAAGTCTCTCCTTTAAAACAAATCTAGGTAGCACCCATTTCCTGTATTGAAAATGGTAAGTGTGTCTCCCTACTTTTACTTCTACAGCAGAATTCTCAGGCTCCACTGTTTTCCTTAGCACTTCAGCCAAGTCTTTTGATTTGCAAAGAGGGAACAAGGCTTTTCAGACAGTTTTCTGTTTCTACCACTATTTTCTCAATTCCTATGCTTCTTTCTCAATTTCATTCATAATTTTGGCATTCAAGAGATGTGCACCTCATGTATTTAAGATCTGTAATAAGAAAACATGTGAAGGACTCCAGTGATGTTTAAATGCTTGCCCTTTTAAATCATTTTTAAATGCAAGTGCTCAGGTCACTGACTTCAAAATGTACCAACATACACAGGAGACCGAAGCCCCATAATGTAAAGGTGGGACTCAGCCCCTTGGCTGTCTCCCTTAGTCCAAAGTGTCCTTGCCCGTCCTTTACCAAAAGGAATTCACTGAATTGAGGGAGTGATACAGCTGGCCCAGCAAGATTCTAATCACTGGACTCAAGAAGTCATTTGCTTCTCCAACTGATAAAACCTTGTTGGCCAGTATTGCACAGAGGGATTTGTTTAGGGGAATTCCAGGTCCACGCAGGGAAACTCCGGGTCTGGAGTAGAAGGTAGCTACGGCTTTCGTGTAACCCCCAGCCCAACTGAAGTCCACCGGGCCTTCATGAATTCCCTAAATGGCATGGCATCACCAACCAAAGGAAGATCACCAGCATCACTAACCAACAAGGAACTTGGACACCAGCGGATTATGCACTTCTCAGCCCCAGTTTCAATCTATAAGAATCTTTACCCCTAACTCCTGGAGGAGCCGGGGTATTAAGTAATTGCAGATCAGTCCCTTGCTCTGCACGACCACTCCAATGTCAGTGAATGGCTTTCTGTGGGGCAGGCAAGCAGACCCAGGTTTGGGGATTCTACAGCAACACCTCCAAATAGTCTGGGATGTTGTTTGGGAACACATCCAAGACAAAGGCTGTGGAAATAAAGATGATCAAAAGGGAATCTTTCCCTAGACTGGATCCTGGATGGAGGGAGGACTGGCACTGTAAGGACATGTTAGGTCAGATGACAGAAATCTGAACACAAACAATAGGCTAGATGTAATAACTCAATATTAAATTATCTAAAGTTATCTGGACTGTTGTTAGCAAAGAAAGAATGTCTCTTAGGAAAGACACTGGAGCACTTAGGGGCACTAAAGTTATCATGTATGTAACTCTGAGAAAACTGTGCATGGGCACATATGTGTGCGCATTTGTATAGAGAGAAAATGAAAGAGAGGTTGGGAACTCATGTTTGACAACCCAAGACCAGAGACCAAATATGTGTGGTTACTTTTGTCAGGGCACCTTCACAGAAAATTATTTTCTGCTACTACAGAAAATGAACTACTACAAACACATACAAATAAGGGAGCAGCACTGCCTCTACTCTCTGGCTGAGGAAGGGGTTCAGGGGACAGTGCCCTGGGCCCCAGGCACAGCCAGCCAGAGCTTGCCCCACCAAGGTCCTCCATCACCCTCCTCACAACAGCTCCTTGCAGCATGTCCAGGACAGGCTCACGCATCAGGTTACACTCCTCCCAGCAGGGCTGTCTTTGCGCAGTCCTAGTCCCACAGATACACTCACATTTTGTTTGCCTAAACCAAGGAGCATTCCATGGAGGTATATCTTAACCAATTATAGGAAGCACATCCCTTTAAACTCATTAAAACATGCACACAGAGACTTGTTAGTGACTCCCTTTGAAACCCCTAACTTAAGGCAATTCCAGTTCAAATAGGCTTTCTTACAATGCTCCGCAGTGTTGCTAAGGAGGGTGAAAAATCAAAACATTCAACTCATCCATCAAAAGGAACCGACACAACCTTTTATTTTTTAAATAATATTTGAGAGACACCAAAAAAAATCAAATTCCCACCTTCTGGTTCACTCTCCAAATACCCGCAACAGCTGAGACTGGGTCAAGGTTGGGAACTAGGACCACAATCCAGGTCTCCCACATGAGTGGCAGGAATCCAATTACTTAAGCCAATAACTGCTGCCTTCCAGAGTCAGCACTGGCAGTGATCTGGAGTCAGGAGACAGATCCAAACACAAGGTATTCTGATGTGGGACACAAGCCTCTAGTTTTTACTAAGTTAAACGCCCGCTCCCAAAGGTTTACTTTAAAAAAAAAAAAATAGCATTAAGGAGACACGAAAGTCCAGTTTAAAAATTAAACAATGATCTGGAGTTAGTATGAGTATGCTGCTGCCATGCTAGCAGACTTACCTGAGGGGAAGAAGAGGTGGCTCCTACTCACATACCCTGGAGCAAGAATCTATAAGAAAAGAAAAGAAAGAGATCCTGTTCAGGCTTCCAGAAAAACTCTTGAACAGCTTTCAAAATGTGGTCTGAGGACCTCTGGATAGCCCTGAACCACTCCAGGAGTTCATAAGGGCAAAACCACGATACCAAGATATTATCAACCTTTTCCACTCTCCTTCTCTTACCGGGTACAAAGGAGTTTTCCAGAGGCTGAGTGACATGTGATAGTACAAAAGACAGAGGGAAGAAATAGGTAAGGAATCCAGCTGTCTTCTCTTAATCCAGATCGCAAAGAAATTTGCAAAAGTATAAAACAAGGCCATTGTGTTCATTAATTTTTTTTGTTTTGGAAAATAGTTATTTTTATAACATATTTTTATTATAAAATAATTTACTGACATTTATAAATATTTATAAACTCTTCAGTTTTAATTATAATATGGTAAGCATCAATAAAGAAAAGCTACATAATCAAAAGCTCTTTGAGACCCTAAATCTTTCCTTTATTATTTTTGATTGACAAATATTGGTACATATTTATGGAGTACAGTATGATTTTCATACAAGTGTAATGATTAGATCATGGTAATTAGCACATTTCAGGTCTATAAACTGTGCTGGGAATATTCAAAATCTTCCTACTATCTAATTTAAAATATATACTTAATTATGTTACCCACAGTTATCCAACTGTGCTATAGAAATTTATAAGTTATTCTTCCTTATCCTTGAATAATTTTTAAGACTATCAAAGGCCCTAATACTAACAAATCTGAGGCCTGCTGCTCCACGTATCTATTTTGGTACTAAATTCCATTAACCCGCATCTGCTTTTTAATGAAACAACAATGCTCAAAATTAGCGATGAAGTGCTATTGAATGGACATCAAGAAATTTATCCTTCAATTCCATTTTCCAGGAACTTTTTTTTGAAGGACTCTCCCATTTATTATTTTCAAACTCACAACGTTTTAAAAAAATGAAATAAAACCATCAGCCTTTTCTCCTTCCTGGATACAAAAACCTCTACTCTAAGAGACCGGTTGCTAGTTCCAGGTGAATCACTAAATGCAGGTAGGTTTGGCTCCGAAGATCATGATCTTTTCAATACTTTTTCAAAAAAATACTAATTTTAAGGATTACTAACTTGATAGTGCATGGTCTTAAAACATAACAATGTGGAATATATAGCCAGACAAAACTATATGAAAATGGGTTTATAAAGACAGTATGACCCTAAATCCTAGCAAAATCCCCCATTCTGCTCACTATAAAAGACCCCAGTAAGAGACAGTGTCAGTTTTCACCTGATGCTCCCGTATAATATCAATAGTGCCCATTTCACTTTGAAAGGTGATAGAGGATCACCAAAAAGACTATATCCAGGCCGGCGCCACGGCTCAGTAGGCTAATCCTCTGCCTTGTGGCGCTGGCACACTGGGTTCTAGTCCCGGTCGGGGCGCCAGATTCTGTCCTGGTTGCCCCTCTTCCAGGCCAGCTCTCTGCTGTGGCCAGGGAGTGCAGTGGAGGATGGCCCAAGTGCTTGGGCCCTGCACCCCATGGGAGACCAGGAGAAGCACCTGGCTCCTGCCTTCGGATCACTATCCACTCTGCCTGTCAAAACACAAAAACAAAAGACTGTATCCAGTCTCCAAAAACTCATCCTGCTAAATTTGTCTCAATTTTTATGTATCTTTATGAATCACTAATAGGCCCTCAATCGCCACTGAATTTAAAGATTATATGCAGGGATAAGAGCAGAGAAAGAAATTCTCACTGACAACTTTTGTAGTCAATACTGCCAACTCTGTGCTTAAAAGATTTAAAGCATAGCATAGTATATTCCTCCAATCAATAAGTAAAAACAGAAAAAGGGTCCAGCACTGTGGCACAGTGAGTAAAGCCACCTGCTGCAGTGCCATCATCCCATACGGGCACCATTTCAAGTCCCAGCTGCTCCACTTCCAGTCCAGCTCCCTACTAACAATCCTGGGAAAGTAGAGGAGGCTGCCCCAAGTGCTTGGGCCCCTGCACCCACAGGGGAGACCCAGAAGAAGCTCCTGGTTCCTGATTTCAGACTGACCCAGCTCCAGCTGTTGTAGCCATTTGGGGATTGAACCAGCAGATGGAAGACCTCTCCCCAGCCCCTTTCTCTTACCCCTCAACTCCTTTAAATAAATAAATAAATAAATATTTTTTAAAAAAACAGAAAACAATAGAAACTAAACACAGCAATACCATATGATTCAGCAATTCCATTTCTGGGCATATATCCAAAAGAAGTTAAAGCAGGGTCTTGAGATATCTATATGCCCATGTTCACAGCCGTTTTAGTCACAACAATCAAAAGATGAAAACAACACAAGTGCCCAGTGACAGATAAATACACAAGCAAAATGTGATGTATACATACAGTGGAATATATATTTAGCCTTAAAAAGGAATGAAACTCTGCCATATGGTACAATGTGAATGAGCCTAGGAGGACAACTATATTTTAAAATTTTTATTTATGTATTTTATTCCAAAGGCAGAGGAAAAGAGAGAGGGATAGAGAGGGATAAGAGAGAAATACTGATCCCCCATTGGCTAGTTCATTCCCCAAATGCTGGGCTGGGCCAGGCCAGAAATGGGAGATAGAAACTCTATCTAGGTCACTTGCCATGGGCATCAGAGACCCAATTACTTAAGTCATCAACTGCTACCTATCAAAGACCAGTAGCAGAGCCAGGATTCGAATCCACTCCAATATGGGATGGCATCCCAGGTTGCATCTTAACCACTAGGCCACACACCTGCTCCCAAACATTAAAAGATTCTGATTAAATGAAGGTCCTAGAACAGTCAAATTCATAGAGACAGAAACTACAACTATGGTTGCCCGGGGCTCTGGTTGGGGAGATCAGGAATAATGGTTTAACAGACACAGAGTTTCTGTGTTCAGATTAAACAGTTCCTAGGGATGGATGGTGGTGATGATTGCCCAACAATGTGAATGTACTCAATATCAATGACCTGCCTATTTGACCTCAATACAAATAAAAACACCCCAAAGTATCAATATTGTGGGACATCTTATTTGATATTCAATCTTCACTAGTTTACTAAGTTTATGCAAACATGCACCCATCCATCCTTTCACCACGCCACCTACTCTCACTAATCATATCCTGGTTTTCAACTACTGTGCTAGAACAGAGGATACAACTAGCACATAGTAACCTCTGCCGTGGAAGATATCAGCATGGAACCAGATATAACTCTAGGCAGACTAACCAGCACCACGGGGAAGCCGACATAGGGGCTGTTATTGTACTACATATGATAAATGTCTCCAGCAAACAACACTTGATCTTTTATAAACAAACAAAACCCTCAAGTCTTCTGAGTGTCAGTAATTTTCAGTTATGGGATCTCCTTTTTCACTTCCCAGGGGGTATTTTGCACTGTGTTTTTCATGTAGATCCATTATTACACCCTCAATTTATCAGAGGACATAAATTATAAGAGTCCTGCTAATTAACCCATGATTGGATACTTTGTGGGTAATGTCTCTTCTCCAGGACAGACCCCTTCAGTTATGCTGTATTTCCCCAACACAAAGAACACACTCTGGAAAAGGCGCTTTTCCTTCCTTTCATACAGCAAACATCCCGTAAACAATTAATGCTCCACTCCTTTAACTGATTGCTTTTGTTTACTGACAGGAAAGGAAACCACAAATTCTCCAAGTAGCCATAGGGACTCCAGAGTCTGGCTTCATTTCCTACTGAGCAGGTGGTTTATATGAGGCAACTGGTTATTGTATTTTAACCTTGTTCTGACTTTAGGGGAGGGGCAGTGGGCTTTCAGCAGAACAAAGTCTTCTCAGGCAACCGCACAGGGGCCAGGGGTTGGGCACAGCGAGGGGCTCTCCCCTGCTCCTGGTCCTCACTGAGGGACCAGGCCCCTCATGCTCCAACAGGAAGCTCTGCGGGAAACCTTGACTTCCAGACAGACACCCGTCTGGCCCTTTGTTCTTCCCAGCAGGTTCCTCAGCTGCTTCCCCAGCAAAAAGGGGGTCTGAGAAAGTGAAGGTGAACATTTTCTTTCCACCAAAAAGGATAAAAAATTTCCATCTACCTCTGTTCCTCCACTCACTGCTGGGGAGCCTTGCTAGTATTAAGGAAAGCCAGCACTAAAGAAAGATTATTTTCTGCTTTATTTTTTTTTGGTTTTTTGGTTTTTGTTTTTGTTTTTTTATAAAGTGATAAGGCTTTATTGGGGATAGGGCAGCTATCAGAACGGAAGGGAGAAAGAGTGCCTAGTCACTCGGACTTGGGGGAGAGTGAGGTTACATGGTTGTTTTCTACTTTAAATATAGGAGTGGTATTTGGTGCAGCAGTTAAGACTTGGGGTGGGACCTAGCATCCCATAAAGAAGTACCTCATTTCATTCTTCTGAGATCTAGAAAAATATGATGCTAAAATTCATATGGAAACACTAGCGACCTCGAATGGCTAAAACAATCTTAAACAAAAACAAAGTCGGAGGCAGCACAATACAAGATTTTAAGACATACTACAAGGCATTTATTATCCAAACAGCCTGGTACTGGCATAAAAGCAGAGAGATAAACCAATGGGACAGAATAGAAACCCCAGAAATCATTCCACACATCTACAACCAACTTATCTTTGACAAAGGAGCTAAAAACAATCCCTGGAGAAAAGACAGCCTCCTCAACAGATGGTGCTGGGAAAACTGAATCTCCACATGCAGAAGTATGAAACAAGACCCATATCTACACCTTATACAAAAATCAACTCAAAATGGATCAAGGGTCTAAATCTATAACCAGATACCACCAAAATACTAGTGAAGAATATTAAGGAAATCCTTTAAGACATTGGCATAGGTAAAAACTTCTTGGAAAAGACCCCAGAAGCATAGGCAATCAAAGCCAATAGACAAATGGGATTACATAAAGGAAAGAAGCTTCTATACTGCAAAGAAGACACTCAACAAAGTGAA